ATTCCAGATTTTCAAATAGTTGTATCTCGGCCAAATATTGTCTTATCCTAACAAACCATACATAAATGGAAAGCTTATTTATTCAGCTTTCAGATGATGTATAAATCTCAATTTTGAAAAATTGACCCTTATGACTGGTTTTGTGGTCCAGGGTCACATATGATTACATACCCGGCTTAGATTGCACTAAATACATTTTATACATGTAACAGGGAGTCCTCCCCACATTTTATGTCCAGGTACGGATGATTGTCTGAACGGAAGCCTTACCCTGCTGATGGTGAAGAGCAGGCCTGGTTTGCCCGAGCAGACACCAGTGAAGCAGTATCTGAGTCTCCAGTAGAACAGGTGCTCCCAGACAAAGGTAATGAGGCTGAGACCCATGGCGGTCGCCAGCATGTAGAACACTCCAGCCATGTTGTCCACATCCAGCTGGCTGCTCATTACCTCGTTCTTCTCATTGTGGCAGATCCCAGTCAGCCACTGAGCCTCCAACTCCTCCATCTCACCTGAGGAGAGACGCATTTCATTCACATTTCATGTACACATCAGTGGGCCGCAGTACTACCGTCCACAGACATATCCTCCTGTTCCAGATCTCCCCACGTGCTAACATGTCAAAGTGAGGATCAGTAAAATTATATACTCAAGCTTTAGCCATATGTTAGCACCATCTGAGACTTTTTTTTCTCTTTCTCTACAAGGTGCAGCTGCCAGGAGGATAATTCTGTCATTTTTCATGCTCGGTGTATAGCACTACTGTGAAGCACAGCATATAGTATGGAGAGAGAGAAATACTGCAGACGTCTATGAAGGAAGATCCCTGAACTAAAAGTATGCTAAATAATTTAACAGATGGACATTGCTGCATGAACACAACACATTCTAGTTCTGGCTTTAATACACTGCATAACATCTCTTTAGGGCAGACATTTACATTTACATTTATTCATTAAACAGACGCTTTTAAAGTGACTTACAAATAAGGAACAAGCATATTTTCAACATAGAGACAGTGGCACACATAACTATGAATATGAGTCATTGACACATAATGTGCCCATGTTTTCTTAAAGGACAAAAATATGGATGTCCCGTTTTTCAAATTTTTCATGACAATATTATTTTCAAATATAATGAAAATATTGTTATTTAATTAATTATTATGGTTACACTTTATTTTAAGGTGTCCTTGTTACAGTGTAATTATACATTTAAGTACTGAGTAATATTAATTAACTACACGTACTTACTATACTATGGAAGCATGACTGTGTTTACACGCCCATGAATAATCCGATACGATATTTGCTCATATTCTGATTTTCAAATGCAGTTAAAGGGAACTGATATATGGAAGCATATGGGTAGCAAAATTCATTTTGAAATGTAATATGCAAAATGACAATGCAATATGTAAAATGGCAATGTATTTCTGTATTTAAATGTACATTTTCCCATACATATGTGCAACATTTAGTGCAAAATGAAAATGAAAATTCAATTATATAATTTACATTTGCCATTTTCTACACTAGTTTTAATATGTAAATTAAAAACATATTTTAAAGCTTTATAAGTTGCAAAATTAAAATGAAATTGTTATTACCCAAATTGATTAGATATGTTTAACATGTCCAAGCAAAAACTGTAGCAAAATTATAATTTAAATGCCATTTTTCCTAAATGCATTTAGACTTACGGGTAGGACACATGGGATTGCATTTTCATCGTGATACCGCGTGATAAC